CCATCCACTGTGAAGCACAGTGCTGATCAGCTGTCTCCGGTGTTCAGACATTTTTAACACCTCACTGGGGACATGCCATGTGCCAGCCTGCTCCAAAGCCTCCACTATCATCCCTGTCCCCAAGAAACCAAGGACCACAGAACTAAATGACTACAGACCCGTCGCCCTGACCTCTGTGGTAATGAAGTCCTTTGAACGCCTTGTGTTGTCCCACCTAAAATCCATTACAGACCCACTCTTGGACCCCCTGCAGTTCGCCTACAGAGCCAACAGGTCTGTAGATGATGCAGTAAACATGGCCCTTCACTACATCCTCCAGCACCTGGACTCCCCAGGAACCTACGCCAGGATCCCGTTTGTGGATTTCAGCTCTGGCCCTGCTGCAGGACAAGCTCTCTCAGCTGAACGTGCCTGACTCCACCCGCAGGTGGATCACTGACTTCCTGACGGACAGGAAGCAAAACATGTCTCTGATTCCAGGACCATCAGCACCGGTTCCCCTCAAGGCTGCGTCTTTCCCCTCTGCTCTTCTCCCTGTACACCAACAGCTGCACCTCCAGTCACCAGTCCGTCAAGCTCCTGAAGTTTGCGGATGACACCACCCTCATGGGGCTCATCTCAGGTGGGGATGAGTCCGCCTACAGGTGGGAGATCGACCATCTGGTGACCTGGTGCAGCCAGAACAGTCTGGAGCTCAACGCTCTGAAGACAGTGGGGATGGTCGTGGACTTCAGAAAGAGCACAGCCCCACCTTCCCCCATCATCCTGCCTGACTCCCCAGTCACCACTGTGGACTCTTTCCGCTTCCTGGGCACCATCATCTCCCAGGTCCTCAAGTGGGAGCTGAACATCACCTCCCTCACCAAGAAGGCCCAGCAGAGGATGTACTTCCTGCAGCAGCTGAAGAAGTTCAGCCTGCCAAAGACAATGATGGTGCACTTCTACACCGCCATCACTGAGTCCATCTTCACCTCTTCCATCACCATCTGGTACGCTGCTGCCTCTGTCAGGGACAAGGGCAGGCTGCAGCATTACATTTGCTCTGCAGAGAAGGCGATTGGCTGCAGTCTTCCTTCTCTTCAGGACCTGTACGCCTCCAGGACTCTGAGTCGGGCAGGAAAGATTGCAACTGACTCCTCCCACCCCGGACACAAACTTTTTCAGACTCTCCCTTCTGGCAGGAGGCTGCGGTCCATCAGGACCAAAACCTCTCGCCACAAAACCAGTTTCTTCCCGTCTGCAACTAGCCTCATTAACAAGGCCCGGGTCCCCCACTGACACTCCCCCCTTGCAAATGATACAAATGTCTCTGCACATGTAAATACTGTTTCATCTCGTGTCGGGCACAGACCTGGCACGTCGCACATATTGATTGTTGATCTTTGTTGTTGTATATTTTTATACAAATTCCTCATATGTGTAAAACACTACTTGGTAATAAAGCTGATTCTGATTCTGAAACTGAAGGGATTATTATTATTATTATTAGGGCCCGAGCACGAAACGTGTGAGGTCCCTATTGAAACTGAAGGGATTTATTTTTATTTTTTTCTGCAAAGTAACCTCAATTTTGGGGGCCTATACATACTCGAAAACTCACCTAACTTTGCATAAAATTCAGGAGTGGCGAAAAACTTTGTATTTTATGGATTTCACGCATGAGCGTGAAGCCCCCGGACTAAGTTTTACCTACGTGTACGAAATTTCTGTGGTATGTGTATCATGCCCAGATGCACAAAAAAGCCTCTTGGAGCGATGCCTGACACTCAAGAGCGACCGATTTCGGCCATTTTGGATTTAATGGTCTTTTTTGGCAATTTGCACACTTTGAGCCAGATTTACAAAAGGTTTGCGTGAGTAAAAACGTTTGCAAACTTGATATCACCAGTAAATTACCACGTAAGCTGATCTACTGATGGTGTGCATGCAGATTGACGTTACTACTTTTGGCGTTTCAGTTTTATTGTGCAAAGTAATGGGAGGGTAACATGCAAATACATTTATTCACTACACGCAATGTGATCTAACGAGCCTACAAGCAGTTTCATGTGAGTACAACAGCATCTGTATTTAATACAGTTTGAAAGGAAGGTGCAAACCACCAAGTGTCGCATCGACATGGCTGCTGTTATCGTTGCGAGAAGGAGACACAGGCATAATGATAGAAGACGTAGAGAAATTAATATTGGATATTATTCTATATCCAACATATAGAAATAAAAGTATTTTATTTATTTATTTTATTTATTCAATGAACGATGTTTTTATGTATTTTCCTTTAGCTTTGGCAATACTGTTGTATTGACATTCATGCCAATACAGCAAACTTCGTTTCGACCTGACTTCTTGTCTGAGATGAAGAATTTAGAAAGTTGCGTGGCGCTGCGGAGAGCCCCAGCTGCAGTAGTAATAATTCTTAGTTGATCACCCATAACGGGTACTACAATTGCATGTGCAATATTTAGAATGCACATGCAATTTAGTACTCTTGTTGAATTTTATGGTCATTTTTGGATGATTTATAGGTTCCGTACTTTTACAAACTCCTCCTAGAGAATTAGTGTGACCGACTTAAAATTTTCGCTGTGCACTCTAAACCCATTGACCATTAAAAGTTGTACAAAACAGTCAACCAGTTTTTCCGTGGCTTGTCGTCAAAAATCGATGATTCGCTGTGAAACAGGAAGTTGTTATAACTTCGGTGCATATCCTCATATCTGCACCAAATTTTACATGTATAATAAGAGTCCCACCCTGAACACACCCATGTGGCAATATTCACTCAAAGTCATAGCGCAGGAAATCGCTCTATGCGTCTTTGCATTGACTTTGTATGTAAACTCACCGCCCCGAACGCTCACTTTGCTTTTGGTCTGAAAGCACCATAACACATTCATGAAGCCATGCTGTAAAACTTGTGAGGTTGCAGTTAACGGCGTGGGAGTGGCATGGTGACGAAGTTAAACTCTTCACCATGACACAGGAAGTTGTTGTAACTTCAGTGTCTATAGTCACATGTGCACCAGACTTTACATGGTTGATAAGAGTCCCGCCCTGAACGCATCTACAAGCCAGTGGTCACTCATATTCTTAGCACCAGTTACTGGTAACAGGAAGTGACTACTTCTATGATGAAGCACTTCTTGCAGGTTGGCTATATCTACTTAAAAACTATTTCAGAAAACCCTGAACACATTGATGATGTCATGTTGTAAAGCGTGTGGATTTTCCTTCAACGGCGTATCCTTGGCGTGGCAGCGAAGTTCCATGCTTCGCCATGAAACTGGAAGTGTTCACTTCTTCACTGTACATGCTCACATCTGTACCAAAGACACATGCTTGATTAACTGCCCCACCCCGAACACATCTAAATGCCAATATTCAGTTATTTTCATAACAAGCCACAGCCACAAGTGCTCTGTAGCACCACAAAGGGGACACAGGAAGTGACACCTTCGTGCAGCGTCGGAAACGCGTGGCAAATTCACAACCGCACAGGCAGAGCTCCAGAATCTGCAACGCAATCGCCTCACACCTGCACATGCTACACATGTGAGGACCCACCCATAGCCGCTTGCAGCGTTAATTTGACTTACTGTTGCCTTTGTGTCATCTCGAGCCAGTCTGCCCATTCTCCTCTGACCTCTGACATCAACAAGGCATTTTTGTCCACACAGCTGCCGCTCGCTGGATATTTTCACTTTTTCGGGTCATTCTCTTTAAACCCTAGAGATGGCTCTTTGTGAAAATCCCAGTAGAACAGCAGTTTCTGAAATACTCAGACCAGCCCGTCTGGCACCAACAACCATGCCACATTCAAAGTCAATTAAATCCCCTTTCCTTCCCCATTCTGATGCTCGGTTTGAACTTCAGTAAGTTGACTTAACCACGTCTACATGCCTAAATGCATTGAGCTGCTGCCATGTGATTGGCTGATTAGCTATTTGGGTTAACAAGTAATTGAAAAGGTGTACCTAAAGTGGCCGGTGAGTGTACAAGTCCAGTGATAAACCTTAAGTGGAACAAACATAAGCAGCAAACTTAGGTTAAGTTAAAAACAATTACATCACTGAAACAGCTGCTGCAGAATAACTTTAAGTTATTAACTCATTACTTGATCCCTGAAAATTGTATGTTTCAGAAATATACATTTATTCTTAGTTTTGCTGACCTAAACTTTGTCTTTGACTTATTTGTTTATTCTTCAGAAGTCTGTTTTAGTGACGTAAATGTTTGTTTTTAACTTTAGCAGTTTGCTGCTTCCTTTTGTACCATTTAAGGTTTTTCACTGGACTTTAACTACTTATATTTACATACAAACAAGAAATATGGGGGTATTCTAAAACCTTTGATTGGTAGTGTACAACCGCAGTGACTGAAATAGGACAATAATACTTTAGATGAGTTATCCAGAACAACAAAGTGCTAAAATTGCATGATTGTATTTTTGAATTTATTGTAATAAAGAGATGTATTGTACATTATGCTTAGTTGGCATGCACATTAAATGACAGGCACAAGCAGTTTATCCACCCTTGTTTTTTCCGTCTGGCCTATATTTGTATGTAGCGACCACGCACCCATCCTTATTAGAGAACCCGGCCTTTATGTGAATTACTTGAGAAAACACAGTAATTGTAAAGTGTTTGATTACCATGATAGACAGAGAGGGGACATAGATTGAACATAGGGATGGAAGAGGACAAGAACCCCCCCAACGCGCACACACACACACACACACACACACACACACACCGTAACATTGCCCCCACAGCAGTCCTCTTGTTCCACAGGAAACACTGTACATGTATATTTTGTTATTCTCATCATTCCCTCCTTTGCTCTTTATTGTACTTAAATCCATTTTCAATATTTTCTCCTTCCCGTTGCTTTACCTGGTTCCCTTGCTCAAACTTCTCTTCTGTTCCATCTGCTCTACATTTCCCCTTTGTTTGCCCCTCCTTTGTCTTCCCCTGCTCCCTTCATCCTCGTTCACACAGGTGGTGAGTCAGCGGTTCCCACAGAACAGCATTGGTGCAGTGGGCAGCGCCATGTTTCTGCGCTTTGTCAACCCAGCTATCGTGTCTCCCTATGAGGCCGGCATTTTGGACAAGAAGCCCTTGCCTAGGATAGAACGGGGTCTCAAGCTCATGTCCAAGGTAAGGCTGGTGAATATGATGCAGCTGACTAGTGGGAAACTTAGTAAGGATTTTGAAACGGAATATTAAGTCCTACTAATGTGTAATTGAAAAATGGCCACATGGGGTACAGTCAGTCCATTAGATCACTACGTAGTAGTGGCTGAAATGAAATAAAATGAAAATGTGTTACTGTTGCTTACTTAGCAGACAACAGCAAAGCCATGTGCTTGTTGATGTTGAGCACTTCGACACAAAGGACATGAGGAATAATGGCTAAAGGCCCATTTATAATCCTGCGTAGGGGCTGCGCACGTAGCCATGCATTTATACTTGTGCGTAGGCGTGTCTGTCATTCTGCAATTACACCCCCAAACGCTGCAGTACGTCTGCAGTAGCGCTACAGCATCCACTGTGTTGACTTTTGCCGGCCGAGCAAGCTAACTTCCAGTTTAGCCCTCCGCTAATGGGAATTGGGTTAAAATTGTCTACGTGCGGCTGGTGTAGCCTTTTCATTGACCAAGTGGATCACATTCTGATAGTGAAAGGAGTCTTTTCGCTCAGGTTGTGACGGTCAAATATATTGATCCACCGGGTTACTTCAAAGCACAGGGCACTTCCTGTCGGCTTGGAGGCATTGCGAGGCTACCTAGCCGACCAATCACAGTGCTTACGGTCTGCGTCGCCTTGACATGTAGTTACATTTTTGAGGAGGTGCACGTCATGCTACACCGTAGGTGACGGCGTAGGGTACGGGGCTACACAGAGGCTACACCGTTGATTTGACGCAGAAGTAGAAATTCCACTTATGGGCATATTAGGTGGATTAGAAGGATGTGGGATTATGATACTGCCACAGTTAAATTCACTGTTCACTGTTTTATTTACAGTTGGGTTGAGTGCCAGGAAATGAGATCACATTTCCCAGGAGGGAAATTGTTGCACATTATTGTTTAGAATTGGTTTAAAGAGAGCTGAGGGCAAAATCTGTAAACTATACTCCATCCCCACATCGGAGCACAGATTGGCTTTAAACAGGTTAAGCAGGTTCAAGGTCAATTCTCACCTTCCTCAAACCACAGAAACAAGTCAAACATGGCCAAACATGGTCAAACACTACCCTGCAAACACTTGGACACATCAGAACTGGTAACGTCCCCCCCCCCCCCCCTTAGACATACCACTATTTACTCCAACCCTATGAGGTCTGCCATGTAAGGAAGTCCACAGTCCATTTATTAATTTTAAAAGCAAGCGGTTTATCAGCCAAAACATGAGGCTTAATTGTATTACAAGCAGAGGAATAATCAATAAATAAAAGTCTTGCAAGAGTTTTTGTTCCATCATGGTGCTTATAGAGATAGTTAGGTAAAGTGACAGTTCATCCACCCCTCTGTTTGCACTGTATTCAGATTGCTAAGGGTCAAGAAGACCCTTCATCCCGCTGAGCAGTTGACTCCAGACCAGTCTTTCAAATTCTTTCATTACCAGGGAAGAATTTTCTTAGCCACTGGTACAATAATTGAAGGCTTCCAAATCCTAGGGAGTCTCTACTGCACCAAGTTAAACAGATGACAGAAAATAATTTCACACAGCTGATGGGTGGGGGTGGAACAGCAGAACACACATGCCTTTGGTGTGGGAGACCAAGGTCTGATTCCCACTGTGACACATCCACCAATGTGTCCCTGAGCAAGACACTTAACCCCTAGTTGACCCAGTGGCGTGCGACCTCTGACATATATAGCCATTGTGTTGGGGTTTTTTTGTTGATAAAACAGTCATCTAAAATGAATGAATGTAATCTGATCTGCCATCTGCTCCCTAGTTCAGCTATTTCCCAGGGCTTTTTTCTGGCAAAGGTTCACATTCATTTGTGGAGTCGTGGGATTAATCAAGTATTAAATAATATTCATTCAAAGCATTAGTTATTGATAAGTTGTCAGAGAGCAGTATACGTCTGAGCTGGAGTCGTTTCAATTTTACCCCTGCTTCCACACAATTACAGTTCATTTGCAACAAAAAAGACGATGCCACACTCATCTTTTTCCCATATCTTTCCACCCACAATCAGTTATCACGGCAGCAGGTAAGCCGGCTTGTTAATGACAACAAACCCACATCTGCACCCTGTGTGTTCAGTGCTGCTTTACCTGCCCCCCCCACTTGCCGAGATACTGCTCAATGCTAAAATGTAGTTTAACAGAAGAACAAGTACAAGGTTCCTCAATTGACTCAGGAATGTCTGTTAGGAGGTGAAGACCTGCAGACTAGCTGTTTGGATTGTTTCTAATATGGATGTTGTATATTTCTGTCTTTTCCTTCAGATTCTGCAGAGCATTGCAAACCATGTATTGTTTACAAAAGAAGAACACATGAGGCCTTTCAATGATTTTGTGAAGAGCAACTTTGATTCAGCCAGAAGGTAAGATACTTGCAAGATACTTGCTAGGTACACTCATTCAGTCTCTGAAAACAGAAATCCCCATCAGTCTGTTTTCTTCACATAGGGCATAAACTGTTATAAAAACTGTCATAAACTTGACATAAACTGTCAAGATTTTGTGTCACTTTGAAATTGACTTAGAGTTGTGGTGCGGAAGAAGACTCTTCTGCACGCACACCACAAACAGAGTCGCTTCAGGTCTGCAAACGCACAATTGGACAAGCCAGCTTCATTTTGGAAGAAGGTGCTGTGGACTGATGAAACAAAGATGGAGTTATTTGGTCATAATAAGGGGCGTTATGCATGGCAGCAAAAGAACACAGCGTACCAAGACAAACACTTGCTACCCACAGTAACATTTGGTGGAGGTTCCATCATGCTGTGGGGCTGTGGGGCCAGTGCCGGTACTGGGAGTCTTGTTAAAGTTGAGGGTCGCATGGATTCAAATCAATATCAGCAGATACTTGAGACTAATGTAGAGGAATCAGTCACAAAGTTGAAATTACGCCGGGGCTGGATATTTCAACAAGACAACGACCCAAAACTCTGCTCAAAATCTACACTGAATAAATGTAAATGGAACAAGTACAATGTTCCCCAGACCTGAATATCATTGAAAATCTGTGGGGTTATCTGAAGGGGGTTGTCCACGCTCAGCAATCATCAAACCTAACTGAACTGGAGATGTATTGCAAGGAGGAATGGTCCAAAATACCTTCATCCAGAATCCAGACACTCATTACAGGCTATAGGAAGCGTCTAGAGGCTGTTATTTCTGCTAAAGGAGGCTCAACTAAATATTGATGTGAAATTTCTGTTGGGGGGCCCAAATTTATGCACCTGTCTACTTTCGTTTTGATATATATATTGCACATTTGATAGCTGAAAATGAAATTGCTGAAAATCATGTCTGCTGGCCTCAGAAAGGGTTGAAACTAGAGGTTGTCATGGATTCAAAGAAATGAACCCATGATCAGAAATCATAAACAGCTTTATTGTGTACCTTGTGACTCTTACTGCTGTAAGGTAAGCATGATTTAAAATATGGACAGAATTAAAGCTGCAAGCAGTGTAGGGCGGGACCTCGTGCCATGACGCGCAGGGGGCGTGATGCGGCCGGAGGTCAGGAGACCAGCCTCAAAGGAGTTTATCGTCACTTTTTCATGCACATTTTGGAGTGGCCTTTTATTGTGGCCAGTCTAAGGTACACCTGTGCAATCCCCATGCTGTCTGATCAGCATCTTGATATGCCACACCTGTGAGGTGGATGGATTATCTCGATAAGGAGAAGTGCTCACTAACACAGATTTTGACAGATTTCTGAACAGTATTTGAGAGAAATAGGCCTTTTGTGCACATAGAGAAAGTCTGAGCTCTTTGAGTTCAGCTCATTATTTCTTATGATTGTATTTTAATGTTTTGTGAATAAAATAAACTGAACTGAAGTAACCTGAACTGAGCTTGGCATTATGCAGTGACAAAGACTAAAACTAACATTGAAACTAATAAAAACTAAACTAAAACTAAGCAAACAAATTAAAACTAAACTGAAATTGAAAACAAAAAGTCAAAACATAATAAAAATAAAAACTAATGAAAAATCTAACTATAATAACCTTGGGTACAGACCCTATAAAGTTCATAAACGGGCTGAAACTGCACTTTAAAATGAAAATGACTGACTTCCTGTTGGGTTTAGGCTATGGTTCAAGTGTCATGCATTTCAGGCACAGAAAATTTTCTTGCTTTAAGCCCTGGGTGAGGAGTACAAAGACAAGTGTGTCTTGCCTACAGTCCAGCACTGTGGTGGGAGTGTCCTGTTCTGGGGATGCATGAGTGCTGCCGGCACTGGGGAGCTACAGTTCATTGAGTGAACCATGAATGCCAACATCTACTGTGACATACTGAAGCAGAGTATGATTCCCTCCCTGCAGAGACTGTGCTGCAGGGCAGTATTCCAACATGATAACAACCCCAAAACGACCACTGCCTTCCTAAAGAAGCTGAGGGTAAAGGTGATGGACTGGCCAAGCATGTCTCCAGACCTAAACTGACGTGCCTGTAAATTATAGCATGTTTTGGACCAGTCACAAAGGAGTTAAACATAACTTCCTGTGTCCCCTAGGTGGTGTTAGACAACACTTGCTAATTGTACACTCACCTAAAGGATTATTAGGAACACCTGTTCAATTTCTCATTAATGCAATTATCTAATCAACCAATCACATGGCAGTTGCTTCAATGCATTTAGGGGTGTGGTCCTGGTCAAGACAATCTCCTGAACTCCAAACTGAATGTCAGAATGGGAAAGAAAGGTGATTTAAGCAATTTTGAGCGCGGCATGGTTGTTGGTGCCAGACGGGCCGGTCTGAGTATTTCACAATCTGCTCAGTTACTTACGCACAACCATTTCTAAGGTTTACAAAGAATGGTGTGAAAAGGGAAAAACATCCAGTATGAGGCAGTCCTGTGGGCGAAAATGCCTTGTTGATGCTAGAGGTAAGAGGAGAATGGGCCGACTGATTCAAGCTGATAGAAGAGCAACTTTGACTGAAATAACCACTTGTTACAACCGAGGTATGCGGCAAAGCATTTGTGAAGCCACAACACGCACAACCTTGAGGCGGATGGGCTACAACAGCAGAAGACCCCACCGGGTACCACTCATCTCCACTACAAATAGGAAAAAGAGGCTACAATTTGCAAGAGCTCACCAAAATTGGAGAGTTGAAGACTGGAAAAATGTTGCCTGGTCTGATGAGCCTCGACATTCAGATGGTAGAGTCTGAATTTGGCGTAAACAGAATGAGAACATGGATCCATCATGCCTTGTTACCACTGTGCAGGCTGGTGGTGGTGGTGTAATGGTGTGGGGGATGTTTTCTTGGCACACTTTAGGCCCCTTAGTGCCAATTGGGCATGGTTTAAATGCCACGGCCTACCTGAGCATTGTTTCTGACCATGTCCATCCCTTTATGGCCACCATGTACCCATCCTCTGATGGCTACTTCCAGCAGGATAATGCACCATGTCACAAAGCTCGAATCATTTCAAATTGGTTTCTTGAACATGACAATGAGTTCACTGTACTAAAATGGCCCCCACAGTCACCAGATCTCAACCCAATAGAGCATCTTTGGGATGTGGTGCAACGGGAGCTTTGTGCCCTGGATGTGCATCCCACAAATCTCCATCAACTGCAAGATGCTATCCATCAATATGGGCCAACATTTCTAAAGATTGCTTTCAGCACCTTGTTGAATCAATGCCACGTAGAATTAAGGCAGTTCTGAAGGCGAAAGGGGGTCAAACACAGTATTAGTATGGTGTTCCTAATAATCCTTTAGGTGAGTGTATGTTGTGTACCAGTACGAGGTGTGGACCATGCTGTGAAAATGCCATTTAAATCAAAGCATTTTTGTCAGGTTCATCATCATTTTATTTAGGGGTTATACCAGAATAGGTTTACAGGGTTTCATTCTCAAAAAAACACCATGGCAGTAGGCGGATGTCTTGTCACTGTGTGCTGCAGCTCGCTGTTTTTTTCTACCGGTGTTTTTGAGGGCGTGCAGTCAATATTGACTACCACCTATATACAGCGTGCTAGCCTCGAAAAACCTAGGTTTTTTCTAACATTAACATAGCTCTCCTTATTAGCTAGGCTCCTTACATGCTTGCTAACCTTTTTAAGCTGGGTCTCCGACATTGACAGCGTTGTGTTGGACAGATTTGGGCAGCTGTGTTCATGAGGGAGGAGGAGCGAGAGAGGGACGAGCAAGAGGGACAAGTGAGAGGATGTGCTGTGCGAATGTGCGAATCAAATATGATTGTAAAATTGTAGTAGTAAAAAAAATCTAAAATAAATCTGTGGCGGTCAGTGTTGATATTGTGGCGGGCCTCCACAAATAAATGAACGTATGGGAAACACTGACTGACGTGTGGTAGAGGTTATGTGTGGCTTAGTTTGAAGCATTGAATCTGTTAGTATGCTTACTTATTTTGAAACATCAGAACATTAAAATTTGCAGTGCAGTTTAGCATCAGTGAGGTCTTGAGATTGCACTGCCCAAATTTGCAATTGATCGGATTCATTCTGTAGGAGTTCGACATGAAAATTTGCCAAACTTTGCCACATAGCAATGGCAACGCTGTCTGAAGAATCCTAAAAAGCTTCCCAAGTTAATTGTAAAGGTGTTTAGATTGCACTGCCCAAATTTGAAACTGATTGCATTAATTCTGCAGAAGGGCTTTGTTTGAGTACAGAGTGTGCAAATGGCGAAAATGTCATATTCAATTCAAAACCTGTTCAGTTTAGGGTATGTCTCCAAGTGGTATGTCTCCAAATTTTGTACATCTAGGAGACACGTACGGCAGGAGCAGCTTCATTAATGTAACAGATATGAGCTGGCGTGGAGAGTGATGTGAGCAGGGGAGAGGGGAACACATGGTGCTCAAAAGCGGGGATGCAGTGCAGAGGCTGTGGAACAGCTGGGTCCGGCGAATGCGGAGCTGGTCAGGGGCTCCAGCCTGGCCAGGGTTGACTGTTTGCAAGCTCACAGAGAGGCTGGAGGGGAACAGCGGAGGAATGGGTCTGACTCCAAGGTCTGAACTTCCCACTCAACACGCTTCAGCAGATGCAATAAAACTCTCCCAAATGCAGCTATCTTATATACTATCCTAGATGGCTCAGACTCTGAGATTGATGCGCAGACAGATACCCAGGTCCTGGTAAATATGCGGTAGGTGTTTGCAGTACATTGTTTATTTGAAAATAGCCCCCTCAGTTGGGACGTTGTTCTTCTCAAAGCGTGCACAGAAGTTTGTCTGGGAGAGATAAAGACATCTCAGCACTGCTGGTTTTCCCTTTGCAGTCTGTGATAGTTCTCAGTCCAGATCACATTTTTCTGGGGTTGGAGCTCAGGCAGTTAGACTCCACTTTGTCCATGTATCATCTCTTAGCACTGCTAATAGCTCTCCAGATCGTGTACCTGGAATTCCTGTATTCATCCAAATCACCTGAATTGTAAGCATCAGTCTGTGCTAAGTTTTGCATGGACTTTCCTATTAATCAGGGCTTATGATTTGGGAATGTTCAGTAGTCCCCGCAACTTGCGGATGTAGACAGTTACCTCATCCGTGTATGTGTCTATGTTGTTGTCCAGAAACACACAGCACTCTGTAATGCTGAAGGAACATGTAAAGCAGAGGCTGATTGTCGGACCACCACTGAATGGCCTACGTGATCGGCCTGTCCTGTTTGAGTTTCTGTGTATAGGCAGGCAGCAGTAGAACTGAGACGTGATCTGATTCGGCTGGAGAGAGGGAGAGCCTTCAATCTGTCCTGGAAAGGAGTGTAAACATGGTTAGGTGTGTTAGCACCACACGTAAGACAGTTGGTGATATCTCTGCAGGACTTTCCTCAGGATGGCTTTATTAAAATCCCTGGTCACAATAAAAGCAGCCTGTGGCCAAGAGGTCTATCTTTAATCAAAGCAGTCAAGAGAATCATCTGTCCATAGCTTAAGTGTGCACTCTCCTCTCGCCACCACAGGTTTTTCTTGGACATTGCATCTGACTCTCCACCCAGTGACTCGGTCAACCACAGTCTGTCCTTTATCAGTGACGGGAACGTGCTGGCCCTCCACCGCCTGCTGTGGAACAACCAGGAGAGGATTGGCCAGTACCTCTCCAGTAATAGGTCAGAATAGAAGAACTGATGAACCACAACACTAGTGTTCTAAAGTATGATTTCAATACTAACCTAATTCTTTATCATTATGATTTCCAGAGACCACAAGGCTGTAGGCAGGCGACCTTTTGACAAGATGGCGACCCTGCTGGCCTACTTGGGACCTCCTGAACACAAACCTGTGGCTGACACTCACTGGTCCAGTCTCAACCTGACCAGTTCCAAGTTTGAGGAGTTTATGACCAGGTGGGAAATCCTACTGAACTTGTTTCTCAAGGTCCGCCATCAAATCTCCTGGTAGAAGCAAGTTACTCTAAGTCTCGGCTGAGGTTCATCTTCTCGCTTCATTCATTAGCTGCTATATTTTATTTTACATAGATAGATAGTCTTTATTGTCCCCAAGAGTGGAATGTGTTTCCACAGTGTTTGCCATAGTCATGCCATGCGGTGCTTTATATAGTTAAAATATAGCGTGGATGGAGTGACTCGTATATCACAGTTTATCGGCTGGAACGCTCAGCTTGGTCAGCTGTGTCTTCTGTTGGCTGGAGTGTAGTTGTATATACTTTATGAACCCTCAAAGGGAATGATTGTTTAAACTGCATCTACTGCCTCATCGGTTGCTTAAAGGAATGTTTCTGTTTAAGAATCTGTCTTTAAAGTCACTTCTCCATAATCACTGTTTTCTCTGTTGCAGCACAGGCAATTCTGTCCTGACCCTAAATTCAGATTTGACCAACTAACTAATGAGACTGTCTAACAGTGATACAAAGCAATTTTGGTTTGTGAATTGATTGTGGGATTTTTGGAGCCTTCTGTTTCTAACTTTAGCACTTCTTGCAATAAAGAGAAAAAACTCAGTTATTTCTCAAAGTTGCTGTTGCTTTACGTTGCCCTCTAAAATTGGCTTCCTGGGTTTAGGTCTGTTTCCTCTTTTGTTTCCTCCAGGCAGCAACCACCATGACTTCAATTCAATTCAATTTTATTTATATAGCGCCAAATCACAACAACAGTTATCTCACAGCGCTTTTCATAAAAGAGCAGGTCTAGACCGTACTCTATGATGTTATTTACAGAAGCCCAACAGTTCCCACCAAGAGCAAGCACTAGGCGACAGAGGCAAGGAAAATCTTCCTTTTAAGAGGCAGAAACCTCGGCGGCCATCTGCCTCGACCGGTTGGGGTTGGGGTGAAGGAGAGAGAGGGAGAGAGAGAGAGAGAGAGAGAGGGGGCAGGAGAGGAACAGGGAGAAAAAGAGAGGGATGGAAGGAGAGAGGGAGGGGAGGGAGGCAGCCTACACAATATACACACACAGAGGTACAGACAGTAAAGGTGATGTTGCTATAGACTAAATGAAAAATGGTACAGATATTTACAGTAGTGTTAATGGTAACAGTCGTAATGTTAATGATTATTAATAACAATAATAACAATAAGACTAGTAACAATAGTCGTTGCAGCAGAGGGTGTCGAGCAGGAACACGGGGGCAGCAGGTGACCCGCAGCCACAGATCCAGACTCCACAGCTCCAGAGCCAGAAAACCTGCAGGAAGTGACAGGAGGAGAGAGGAGAGGGACGAGAAAGCACAAGACTACCAGAAAGGGGAGAAGTTGTGTTAGTAACATGCAATAATGGGATGAGGTTGCATACAGAGGGAGAGAAAGTAGAGGAGAGAGGAGCTCAGTGCATCATAGGAAATCCCCCAGCAGTCTAGGCCTATAGCAGCATAACTAAGGGATGGTTCAGGACTCACCTGAGCCAGTCCTAACTATAAGCTTTATCAAAGAGGAAAGTCTTAAGCCTACTCTTAAATGTGGAGATGGTGTCTGCCTCCTGAACCGAAACTGGAACCTGGTTCAACAGGAGAGGAGCTTGATAGCTGAACGCTCTGGCTCCTAGTCTACTTTTGGAGACTCTAGGAACCACAAGTAACCCTGCATTCATGCTGAAGTTAATGCCAAGGTGCTTTTGTAGCTGCTGATAACGTTCACAACCTTTCCACATAGACGGTTAATCTTTCAAAATCTGAAACGTGATGCTGACGTTTTCTGTCAGTATTCTAAGCTAAATGGGTATCTACAACTGACTAAACAACAGATATAACAATTTGTTAGCATTCAAAACCTGTACCCTCTGTGAGATGTTCTGTGAATTTGCCTAGCTGCTCATGGTTAGTTGTGACAAAGAGTTTGAGTTGACTGTTGGGTGCAACACTGCTCCAAATTGGTAGGATTAGTCAGATGCTATGGACTGATTTTCCCACTGGGATTAAAAGAGTAATCGAAATATAGCCGCTAGTGGCAATGATCAGGATCCAAACAAGTGGTGAATAATGCAACATTTGACATTTTCAAAGAAGAACAGACGCAGATGACTTAAGAGATTAAAGTGAAGAATTTGGACTTAATATACAGATAATTGCTGAAACGCAAACTTGATTTTTACAGCATCGCCTTGAGATCAGAGAGCATCATTATGTGTGACTATTGGGTGAAATGTTCAAGCCACCTGCAACATTTTGTGTTTCAAAGTTGAAAAGTCATACTGCACACAACACTTTTTAGCAGAGAAAAATAAGAAGAAAGTGTCACGGGATCCAAATAAAATAGGGACCTTAGACTCACTAGGATCTGAACACCCTCATTGTCAGCAAGTCTGACTCAGGCCCCTGGGGATTTGAACCCTGGGACTTCAGATCTCCAGAGTATGTGACTAACTGACTGAGCTACTGGTGAGGCTCACCAGTAGCTTCTCACAAGTTGAGGCAGTGACGTCACATGTAAAACGGTTACAACAGTCAAAATGTTGGTGATACAATTCTGAAGCAGAAAAGAAAATGTTGTGCATACTGTATAAGTTATAGCAGGATACTGAATATCACTGCAGACTCACCATTTGAACCATCTGAAAACCCTTTGAAACACTAATCCCTAATAATAGAACAATGTAATGTAAAATACAACATAATCTTACCCTAATAAAACCTGACCTATCATGCAACAGCACAAAATCATAAACCCTGTCACATAAATGAATGAGTGGCTGATCCTCAGCTCTCTGTTTGCTTTGTAGGCACCAGGTCCATGAGAAGGAGGAGTTCAAAGCCTTAAAGACCCTCAACATCTTCTACCAGGCAGGAACCTCCAAGACTGGCAACCCAGTCTTCTACTACGTAGCCCGCAGGTAGGACTTTGTAGCATCAATCATACTTCTCCTTCTGTGAGACAGTTTCTAACTTTGCTTTTGAGATTTTTAGTGATTGATCATATTTCTGCATTGCTCTGATCCATTTAGCAGGGGAGATTTTAGTAGAAATAAGCACTAAAAAACTCTAATGATCATAGTAGCCTATGGAAACATTCATCAACTACAACAGATGGCAACACTGTGGCAAATGGTTAGCACTTATGTAAAGTATAAATATTACTTTGTGAACCATTAGAACTGTGAATTTGCTATTTAGAGCTAGAAGAGGACTGACGGTTATAGACTAGTGATAACCATGAACGCAGAAAGACTTTTCTTCTGCAGAAAAGGGTTAGGATCATGTATGTCTCTGCCTTCCAAGGACAAGTGTCCTGTAAAAGCAGTAAATGCAACATATACTCTACACAGTGACCAGAAAAAGAGATTAGATTGACAAAACACTGTATAGTACAGTAAAAAAAGAAGGGAATTGTTTAACAGATACTGATAATTTATAAGCTGCAAAGTAGACTTTGAGTTTGGTTAGCAAAGTAAATTTGTTGTTTCAATAAAAAACACATTGCATCTATTTTTAGCCCACTAAGTGCATGTTCATGCTTACTCTTAAAATAGTCTAGCCAGCTTTGTTTTGTCTAAGCTGACAGTATGTTATATGATTGTACTTTCTGTTCATTCAAGAAAGAGAGGGACTATATGTGTCTATCTGAAGAACTTTTACTAGCTGTTCCAGTTTGATGAACTCTTTCTATTATACCCTGTGGTGAGACATATCCTACTGTGCAGTGGCTGCAATAACCACCCAGCAGTTCCTGTTTCAAACAAATACAGCTTTCAAGCAGAAGCAGTCCCTCCACTGGAATTCCCATTAGGCATTCAGTATAAAGCAGAGAAATGCTATCACTACTACATGAAGTTATTATATTTTGGCTCATCACACGCACAATTCAGTTCAATTTTATTTATATAGCATCACTTCATAACAGAAGTTATCCCATTGTAGTTTTCATAGAGCAGGTCTAGACTGTACTCTCTGTAATATTATTAACAGAGACCCAACAATTCTCTCTATGAATAAGCACTAGGCGACAGAGGCAAGGAAAAACTTCCTTTTAAGAGGCAGAAACCTCGAACAGAAACGTGACTAAGGGTGGGCGGCCATCTGCCTTGACCGTTGGGGGAGGAGAGCGAGGGAGAGAAGCAGTCCAACACAGTATCCACACAGAAAAGCAAAACAACAGTAAAGGTGGTAGAACTCCCGTCCCTGTCACAGACACCCTCCCGACTCATAAACCAATGCATTCATTCACATTCTTTTTAAATGGCAACAATACTGAAATCCAAAATGGTGCAGTGCTACAAGGAAGTGGTGAGTCTGTCCGGTCTGAGCAGAAAGTTGGCTTGTTTTCTTGTTCATAGTCTGTGTTGCTCTTGCTGAATCCTCTGTTTCAGGAGTTCTTCAGACCTTCTGTGGAGTTGCTTGCACAGCAGCTATACATAAACCCTGACTGACTTGACAAAAAGCTCAGACTGGACTGGATTGGACTTGTGATTCACAAGTAATTTCTGAAAAATCTATGATTATATTTTGGTATCCTTTTTTTTTTCTTTCTTCTTTTTTGCACTGAATTGAACTGATTGTTTAACTGGAAGTGAACTATATTGTGGTTTAGGGATTTATTGGAGTGGGAAATGCGGCCTGGTTTTCAGTTTTTTTTTGTCAGCACTCACTATTAATAAACATAATTGAATTGAGAGATCTGTTTTATTGGTTGTTGGTCTATACTATAAGTTTTGCTTTTGATGGCTCAAGATATGAATGTAGTGATGTACTACGCTTATGCTTGAGTCCTGTGTGCGGTTGACTAACTTAAAAATATTGAACCAAAAACTGTTCATACTGTTACAGTATTAGTCTTCTGTTCATTACTGCTAATGTTACTTCTTGCATTATATTTTCTGTTTGGGTACACACTAGACATACATTCAGCACCCCTTGGAACAAACTGTGATTTGTGATCTTGGGCTATATAAATAAAACTGACTTGACTTGACATTCTGATCCATCTGCACCCAGACAGATATGCCCAGGAGGGAGATAATAAGCCCTCAGAGGAAGAACTCTTGTAATAGCCTTGCAGTTTGGCTGATTAATATGGTATTTAGTACTACATGTTATACATTTGTACCTGTACCAGGAATTCTCTATTTTGGAACTTTGTTTGTTTGGAAGTGTATGTTCAAAAAGGAAATAATTTAAATTTGTATTCTGGTTATCTTTATTAAGTTTTGTGAAAGGCTGATCAGTCAGTGCATAAATGACCAAGTGGCAATCTATGTTTTTATTGTGTTGGGGGGTTTTTTGCATTAAAGTTGAACTTAGTCTCAGCAAAGTCAGCAGTCTATCTAGAATTGTACAGCATGGTTAGAACCAAGCTGTATCCTCTGGGTCTGACGAATGAAGTCCATGAGGAAGTGCCTTAAACCTGCATTCTTTCTAATGGCCAGCAGGGGCACTGTGATGGTCGTAACAGCTTTTTTCAGATTTGAAGAAAATAGACCTTTGAACTGCTTGTTCAGTATAAAAAAAAGCAGCACCAACATTATGATGAAGAAACACAATCGAAGCTTACTATAAATGACAAAACAATGAAATCCTTTGATCTAATTAACTTTTTCTGGAGTGTCTGACAGAAATACAAAACAGTTGTTGACTTCTGCTGAAATTTTGATGGACTGGTCTTTTTAACATCATTATTAATTTCTTGTGCTTTGGGTTTACTCATTGGAGTAAATGTTTTGCTTACTGTATTACATCATGGGGGTTCATTGCATTGTAATGTTATAATTCAGCAAATTTCTGTTCTTTATTACATTTTCACTGCAGACAGGAACACCTATAACTATTCCTTTTAATGCTTTCATTTAACTAGACCTTTATTGGTATCTTTTACTACTCACTGACAGTAAGCCAGGTATGCAAAGCTGCTATGGAATGTCATGTAATGTATATTGTCAGTCCTGTTTTGAATGGCTGAACAGGAGCAAATGTAGCGCAAGCATCACTACTGAAAAAAGCATTGAGCATAGCAGTCGGCCAGTGTGCAAGTATTCTACTTAGAATTGAGCATTGACTTTAGCACTCCAGTTGAACCATATAGATATTTTGAGTTTAGTTAGTTTTATACAGTTTATCTTTGTGTACAGGGCTTTCAGGGACATTGTTATGTTGTACATGTTGAGCTAGATAAAAAGATGATGATAAATGTGTCAGAAGGCATACATTCACTGTCCAAAATAATCAGGTAACTAGTGTATTCTGTATCCAGTCAAGGTTGTTCAGAAGGTGTTGAAAACTGTGGTCATAACTATGACTAAAATAGTCAGGGTGACAGCGAGTTCAGTCTCGTTGAGGAGTCCGTGACATTTATTCCGTGAGTTAGCTAATTGTGGGCTTGCTGTTGTGCTTGTTTGTGTAGAGAAGTCGTCAAAACTTGTAGAAGATGTCCAGACAAACAACATGTGGTCCGCGGATTCATTACCTACTCTTTTTTCCTGATATATTCCTGTCCCGAAAAGTGCAGATTTTACTTGGTAACTAGACGTGGCCTCTGCAGTCCTTGCAGGTGATTGACCATCATGCCCCACCCCTCTGCTATTAACCCAGAGCGGTGGCTCTGTGAACAGTGCAGAGTGCCACTCCCTACCTGGTGTTGCCAAGTGGGTTTGCCCACAGATGGGTCTTGTATAACAAGGGCAGCCTAAGACAGTTGCACGGGTCTGTTCAGCCCATCTCAAGAGTCTCATTATGTTTTCTTCCTCTTCACAAGCCCAGGGGTTATCCCCAAGAGTCATCACCTCCAGCCCAGTCAGCTTATCAAAGATCCCTTCAGACAACCAGGAGAAGCGATTAGCATGCAGATAGATTTGAGCCAGTCTTGGCAGCCGATTCAATGATCCAGGCAGGATCTGCACCAGATAGTTATGTGACAAATCAATGATCTCCAAGTTGTGCGGCATATTCGTGGGCACAGTCCAAAACCTATTATGACTGAGGTTGAGAGCTTGGAGACCTGGCAGCGTGTTGTTGATGAAGACCACTCTCTCTAGCTCATTGTCCGACAGGTCAAGTACTTTCAGGTTCCAGTGGTAAGCTGTGTCGTTTTTGTCCAGTGAGCGTAGGTGGTTCCCCGCCGCTCGGATGTCCCACAGAGATCGCGGCAAGGCGGGGGGCAGGCTCTCCAAGCGGTTGTAGGACAGGTCCAGTGTTCGCAGGTGGGCATAGTGGCTGAGCTGGCTGTCCAAACCCTGCAAGCTGTCAGAAGTGTAATATTCAAAAAAAGTACATTTATTTATACAGTATATGTACAACCAACACTACGGATGTTTTTAGAGAGCTCTTACTGATTAAATGATATAAGAAAACCCATTTTATTACCAGCCTAATTATAGAAGTAGGTAAACTGTAAATGTAACTTTTGCTGAACAGCCGCTAATGTGCCCGTAAGTGAGAAAAATATACTGTAAGAGTTGTTACTTCTTTCCATAGATGCACTTGAGGTACTTCCCTATTACATTAAATCAGCCTGACATTTTACATTTTACAAATGTGAAAGCATTTGATAAGATGATGAGCTGCTCATGTTGGAGGCTCAGGCAGATCATTATCTGAGACAACTACATATTTAAAATAGTCTGCATGCCGTGCACTTCAGAGCATCACAGTATTACTTACGTCAACATAGCAATGTTACCTCTTGTTACTTCTTACAAGCACAGAAATTGTTGAAGAGCAGGCCTGTAACCAAGTAACACTGCAGAGCAGCAGCTGCTTACCTATTAAAAGAAAGGTTGAGAAAGCGAATGTTGTGCTGTAGGCCAGGTGGTAGCTTGGTTAGGCCTCGTGAAGAGCAGTCCACCACACGGTGTCCCCGGCTGCAGGAGCACACAGGGGGGCAGATGGACAGCACCTGCCCTCCCAGCAGCCCACACAACAGCAGGAGGAGCAGACAGAGCAGAGGGGCAGAGCAGGATGGCATGGTCAGGGCTCTATGAACGAGAGAGAAGTGTTAAATAAGAATAAGAACAAATGATTGAAAACTGTTTTCACTGTTTTATGTGTAATGGATATGATTTTCCATATGTATTATGGTAACTCCAGTACTATAGACTGGTCCATTCAAATTCTGCCCTGTTCTTAGGATAGAGGATTTCTTATGTGTGTCTCCCACTGCTTGTCAGGGGTCCAGAAGATCTCTTTTGGGTGCTGGGTTTAGAGTTGTTTTAGCCAAGTAATAACTATTCTCATCTCTCTCATTGCCCACCCAGCTCAAACACAGGGAAATGCATAGTATTCAAGTTGGATGTGAATGCTTCCATTGCTTCCATTGGTCTTCACCATGTATCTAGATGTGACGAGTCTGGGAGTGAGAATGGGTTGCATTGTCCTCGGTGGTCATACTTGTGTTTTTGCTTCATTTACTTTGGTGTATTAGTCCAGATAAGCCAACCTTCCCAAGATGTAACAAAAAGTATGATTACAGTGCAGTAAAATACTGTATTACAGGATTATGAGACATCCTGTAGCACTTCATTTCTTGATGTTACAATAATAACAATAATATTCACAATACCATATGGTTTACTGAATAATTAAGTAAATAAAATTTCTTAATATATCTATCTAAAGAACCTCATATCTTGACTGGCAACTCTCTGCTATCTCATAGAGGACATATTTTATCCTGTCTCAGGCACCGTAGCTATAGTACTCGCTTGGATAGGGGATAGCATTATTTGGGCATTACACATGCTCAGATAAAGTTCTTGACTTGCTTGTATTGTAAGAACTGGAGTCCTTTAACTTTCTCTTCCTCTGGGACTTTCTCCACAATTAGTTTGATGCTTCCATTCTGTCCAAAACGGTGGCTACAATCCTGCAGTAGCTGAGCTATATAAATAGTATGAGCCTTGAGCTGTTCTTACCATGTAATACCACTGATTGTGCTTATTATTGAATTAATAATACATTGTTGTTTGAGGTAGCATTTGATCCAGCAAAAATGGAGAGCAGTCTGATTATTTTGACTGTCAACACATGGCTTCAAGCCCAGACTACCCATCTGGCCAGTCATATTCTAAAATGGGAAGATAGCTTTCTGCTCCTGATGCATTTTATAAGGGTGCTAGATGTCCTAAGTGCCGACCGGCTTGAAGCTCTGCCAGTGGGACTCAGAGTGCTGCAGTGAGACTCCATTCAATCAGGACGATAGGCTGCACTGTGTGTTTGCAACTGCAGATGTTTTGAGCTAAAGACTAAAGGTCCATGTGTGTTTGTGATTCAAACACAGGACGGTGGGACACATTAACACCCTTTGACGTGTTCCAGAAATGTTGTTATTCAGCTGATGATGGCAGCTGATGCAAAGCCATTGTATCACTTTTGTCTATGCCTTCATGAAATACTAAAAGGAGAAATCTGCATAGTGATAGAACGGGGAATAGTTTCCACATGAGCCAGCCCAACATTGCACTGTAGTTTACTGCATTAATAGGATTCAGTATGAAATGTCCCTCTGCCCTTTCCATCAGGTGTATATGGGTCGTTATCTTTCCATTTCAAATCACTCACCTCATCCTTTGTAATGTTGGTCTGTCATCTCTTTTTCTCCTGTCGTCATTGTCTCCTTCTGCAGTTCCAGCTGTTTAGTTTTTCTCTGTGCTTTATTGGTTCTCTGCTGTTGGAAGGTAGTGGTCTCAAGCTCTTGTTTCTTGCGTGGCACTAAACATGCTGCCTGCTAGCGCTGGCCTCCTTCCTGCTCGCCCGATGCAGCTTGAGGTCTGGGTTGGGAGGAGAGCTGCGTAGAGGGGAAGGAATGGAGACAGAATTGCAGCAGCGAGTCGGCCCACTCTGCTGCTGATGAGGCAAGCAAGCGCTGAGTGGTGTGTGTGTGTGTGTGTGTGTGTGTGTGTGTGCTGACAGCAGCAACTCCCCTCTCTCTCTCTCCCATGTGCATGCATTCTTATATACCCTTTATGTTAACAACAGTTAAAGATAACTATAGCAGTGTTTCCATCAAATTTCCAAGCAAATTTAAAGCAAATTTTTTTAATGTTACAAAAACAGGAATAAAAGAAAAGCTATGAATCAGGTACATTTCCATCAACTGGTTTGCAAATACATTTGGCTACAGTGTAGTTTAGTCAGAAGTTGGCGGTATGTTACGCATGACTGTAATAAACTGAGTAGAAAAGTAGAGGTCACAGACCAGAAGCAAAATCAGTTGCTTTGGCCATCTACGAGCAAGCCCTAACCCTTCTGCTTCTCTCAGAGTGGAAACAGCTGATCAGTCACTGTGAGTTAAAACGGCAAAGGTGTTTCCATATCCCATTAAAGGCATTAACTCTTTTTGAATAATGCAAAAAACCCACAAGCAAGCATAACAAAATTTTTCAGAATTTTGTAATGCAATACTACTACTTCTACTACTCGCACATAAAGAGATGTTGATGGAAATGCGGCTTATGTGTAATGTCAGGAGCGGCGGTGCGCCGCTGCTGAATTGTGACCGCTGCTAATAAAATTTCACACAATCATTATGATATCAATCCGCTACTAATTTTCACTCACCAACAATGCGCACATAGTAACACTCGCCGCTTGGCTAGCTTCCTCTCCTCATTCTTCAAAGGTCATCTACGTGACAGGTACTGTTATAAGAGCAGCGTAACTCTGTATCGGAAGGTGTGTAGCAAGTGTTTGATTGTCCGAGTGGCAGAAAGTGACGGTGAATGGAGAGAAATATTCTGGCAGTAAATGTACGGTGTCGGTTACAGCGTGTCAGCTTCTCAAGACCAAGAAAAGTCTGTCTGTTGTTTCCCCACCTGCTGGAAAAGGGAAGCCTTTTTGCTCTAGCAAACATCTCCCCTCCCCTTCAGACTGCGCAGCTGAGCAGGAAAGCTTCTACACTAGGCTAAATCTTTTGGCTGCTATGTAACTGAACATTAGCTCAATTATAGAAAGTAACTGGTAGCTGTATTTTATTACTACCTACTTGTCCAATGTTGAGAACATCAGGTACAAACTTAGACTAAACTGGTGTAGACTACAGCTTTGTCCTATACAGACAGGTACATCCTAAATTAGTTTTCAGATGAGTTTTCAGTTAGGAAAAGAAAGGACGGTGGTGACTGAGGACCTGAGGTTAGGAAAGCAAATTAACTAGGAGGAGACGTTTCTTTTTGAATTTTAATGTGCAAATAAAATGCACCTCAGAAGGGAGGAGGTTTCTCATGTTGCCTACTTTTTTATATTAATGTCTATACACATAAATGTCAACAGGCAAACATGAACAGTCGTATCTATTATGAGTGTTATCTGCTTGAGCTTTTCCAACTACTTGTTCAGAGATATGGTGAAAGTAATGGCCCAATATGATGTGAAATTACACATTTTTCATCGGAAAACCTAAAGTTTTCTTGGGGGAGAAACCCAAACCCCCCCCACCCTCCTGACCATGACTACCACGATCGCCATCAAAACAGTCATCTAAAGCTCACATAAAACTATGGGAAAACACTGAAATTTTAACTTATTCTAATGTACATCACATGCTCATGGACACAAGAGCAATGCTGCTGACTTGTTGTGTTGGGGTTTTATATTCAGACATACTACGCACTGCCTGGATAAAAACTCCATCCTCAGGGAAACACTGACTTGTACTGTTTTGATTCATCAGCAGCAAGGCAGCTGTATTAGCAAGTAAGCTCTAGTACTAACCTGCATTAAAGCGACTATAATAGATTATTTATAAATTCAGTATATGAAATGGCAATGGGAAAAGGGTCTAGCGTGGTGGTGAACCTACACAGGATTATCAGTTCAATCTGCGAAATTTTGCAGCCAGACTCAAACAGGTAATGTTTCGATTTTCAAGACTGAGGGTTACGCGTTGGCTCTATAGTGCCTTTTTAGCCGTCACATGGCTAGGGATAGTCAAACCCTCACGAGACTTTGCATGCTCATCAGAACTGTTGTTTTATATTGGCTGATAATTGGCTCAATAGCGCCCCCTACGAAATTTCAAAAAAGCAGCCTGCTGTACGTTTTACCTAGCTGTACGAAACTTGAGTAACCAATGTACCTTCTCCAGACTTAAAAATAAGCCTCTTGGAGCCATGCTCCAACAGGAAGTCGGATATTTTGGATTTAATGGTGATTTTTGGCGATTTACACACTTTGTACTTTAACTAACTCCTCCTAGGGAATTAGATCGTCTTTTCGCTGTGCACTCTAAACCCATTGCCGATTAAAAGTTGTATAAACTGTTATTATCAGTCGACCAGTTTGCCCGTGGCGTGCTGTCACAAAATCGATGATTCGCCATGAAACAGGTAACAAGTTGTTATAACTTCAGCACACATGCTCACATCTGCACCAAATTTTACATGTATAATAGGGGTCCCGCCCTGAACACATCCATATGCCAATATTCACTCAAAGTCATAGCGCCACCTGCTGGCAACAGGAAATGACACATTTTTTGCTGTAATGTACTACTCCTAACAGGTTGGACATATGAACATCAAAACTGTCCCAGAAAACCGTCCGAAGCGCAAATTCACAGCCGCACCAGCAGAGCTCCAGAATCTGCAACATGGCTGCCTCACACCCGACACGCTACAGTGTGAGCACCTGCTTGCATCTTTAATTGTTCTGTTGCTTTACTATTTTGGTTCACTCTCTCAGTGTAGTCTTCTACTGTTTTCAAAGAGAAAAGGCTGTAAAAAGCCAACGTATATGACCTGCTCAGCAGCTAGACTGTAAACACAGTGGTGCATGTAATTCATTTTTATAATTAGTTATTTTAGCTGACGCTTTTATTGCTATATATGTAAGGTCGCACGCCTCTGGACCCACTAGGGGTTGGGACATATTCCCACAATGTCACAGTGGGAATCAAACCCGGGTCTTCCACACTAAAGGCATATCTCTTATCCACTGCGCCATCACCACCTGTAGCAGCTGAAGAGCCACTTAAACCAGACCAGAGCTGAAATGAGATTGAATATTGGGCTTACGCTGGACTTTATATAAGTGCAAATGTTGCCGTATCGACTTAATAATATGGTACTATATCAATGCCAAACAAGCGATGAATGGAGCCTTAATTATGATGCAGTGGTGTTTTTTCAGACACTACTGTGATAGTTTACAAAAATAGAACAGGGACAAAGAGTGATTATCAGGGATCATTGATTTGATTGACTTCCATTAACGAAGTGGGTACAGGGTTCTTAAGTTTTTTTTTTACTTGCCTATGATCACTTTCTTGGTCATGCAAGTGTGTCAGAAATCTGCTTGTCTTAAGTTAATTTTTACTTGCCCCTATCAGGGATGTTATTTTTCCGGATTATTCCAGAATTCCAGATTTTCCCACCTGAAACATCAATACTGGAGACCCGTAAAAAAATATCTTCTGGTCGAAGATGTAACTGGTACAGCTATAACTGGAATTAATATAATACTAGTGATATGAATACAGTAACATTATTCAATTCAATTTTCAATTCAATTTTATTTATATAGCGCCAAATCACAACAACAGTTATCTCACAGCGCTTTTCATAAAAGAGCAGGTCTAGACCGTACTCTGTGATGTTATTTACAGAAGCCCAACAGTTCCCACCAAGAGCAAGCACTAGGCGACAGAGGCAAGGAAAAACTTCCTTTTAAGAGGCAGAAACCTCGAGCAGAACCATGGCTCAGGGTGGGCGGCCATCTGCCTCGACCGGTTGGGGTGAGAGAGAGAGAGATGTAAGGAGAGAGAGAGAGATGTAAGGAGAGAGAGAGAGAGATGTAAGGAGAGAGAGAGGGGAGGGAGGCAGCCTACACAATATACACACAGAGGTACACACAGTGAAGGTAATGTTGCTATAGACTAAATGAAAAATGGTACAGATATTTATAATAGTGTTAATGGTAACCATCGTAATGTTAATGATTATAATAACAATAATAACAATAAGACTAGCAAAATAGTCGTTGCAGCAGAGGGTGTCGAGCAGGAACACGGGGGCAGCAGGTGACCCGCAGCCACAGATCCAGACTCCACAGCTCCAGAGCCAGAAAACCTGCAGGAAGTGATAGGAGAGAGGAGAGAGACGAGAAAGCACAAGACTACCAGAAAGGGGAGAAGTTGTGTTAGTAACATGCAATAATGGGATAAGGTTGCATACAGAGGGAGAGAAAGTAGAGGAGAGAGGAGCTCAGTGCATCATGGGAAATCCCCCAGCAGTCTAGGCCTATAGCAGCATAACTAAGGGATGGTTCAGGACTACCTGAGCCAGCCCTAACTATAAGCTTTATCAAAGAGGAAAGTCTTAAGCCTACTCTTAAATGTGGAGATGGTGTCTGCCTCCTGAACCCAAACTGGAACCTGGTTCCACATGAGCTTGATAGCCGAACGCTCTGGCTCCTAGTCTACTTTTGGAGACTCTAGGAACCACAAGTAACCCTGCATTCTGGGAGCGCAGTGCTCTGGTGGGGTAGTAAGTTACTATGAGCTCTTTATGATAAGATGGTGCCTGACCATTAAGAGCTTTGTAGGTAAGAAGAATGATTTTAAATTCTATTCTGGATTTTACTGGAAGCCAATGCAAAGAAGCTAAAACAGGAGAAATGTGATCTCTTTTCCTGGTTCCTGTCAGAACACGTGCTGCAGCATTCTGGATCAGCTGAAGAGTCTTAATGGACTTTTTCGAGCAGCCTGATAATAAGGAATTGCAGTAATCCAGCCTAGAAGTAACAAATGCATGGACTAGTTTTTCTGCATCATTTTTAGACAGGATGTTCCTGATTTTCGCAATATTACGTAGGTGAAAAAAGGCGCTCCTTGAAATTTGCTTAATGTGAGACTTAAACGACATGTCCTGATCAAAGATAACTCCAAGATTCCTCACAGTGGTGTTGGAGGCCAAGGCGATGCCATCCAGGGAAACTATATCTTTAGATAATGCGTCACGGAGGTGCTTAGGCCCCAGAGTAATAACTTCGGTTTTATCTGAGTTTAACATGAGAAAATTACAGGTCATCCAGGTTTTAACATCCTGAAGGCACATTTGAAGTTTAGCTAACTGATGAGTTTCATCTGGCTTGATCGATAGATATAACTGAGTATCATCTGCATAACAATGAAAGCTTATGGAATGTTTCCTGATAATATTGCCTAAAGGAAGCATATATAAAGTGAAGAGGATTGGTCCAAGGACAGATCCTTGAGGAACTCCATGAGTAACTTTGGCGTGCATGGAGGACTCATCGTTAACATGTACAAACTGAAATCGATCTGATAAATAGGACTTAAACCAGCTTAGAGCGGTTCCTTTAATGCCAATGAAATATTCCAGTCTCTGCAATAGGATCTGATGGTCAATGGTATCAAATGCAGCACTAAGATCTAATAAAACCAGTACAGAGACAAGTCCTTTGTCTGATGCAATAAGGAGGTCATTAGTAATTTTCACCAGTGCTGTCTCTGTGCTATGATGAGCTCTAAATCCTGACTGAAAATCCTCAAATAAACTATTGCTCTGTAGAAAGTCACACAGCTGTTTAGCAACTGCTTTCTCCAGAACCTTAGAGAGAAATGGAAGGTTAGATATAGGTCTATAGTTGGCTAAAACATCCGGATCAAGTTTGGGCTTTTTCAGAAGAG